GTGTTCCATCCCTAAGGATGCCCGGCGGCTCCTGCTCGTGCGCGGGGCAGGGGAAGCAGTTGCGGGATCGCTCGCAGGAAGCAGTTGTACTCGCAGTGGTTGGTAAGCCCTGCCTTGAAGTTGAGGAACCTGCTGAGTTAAGGAACCTGCCTGCCGAAGCTCTGCAGAGGCATCTTGCCTCTGTTTCTCCCTTGTAGCTGCTCACAGGGCGCCTGAGGTGTCGGTCTGTTCTGTGTCTTTGCTGCTGCTGGGTGGCCGTTGCTCCAGGCTCTTTCCAGCTGCTGTGTGTAGACAGAGGCAGCGAGCGGCGCTAGGAGCGTCGCAGGAGGCCGCGTGGCAGTTGCAGAGCGGGAGGCTCCTGCTGTCGGACACGTGCGTGATGTCTGCCCCGCAGCCCCTCCGAGCCCTGCGTGAGCCGCTGCGGGGCATGGGCCCTGGGGGGAATTGCCCGAGTAAGAGGGAGAATGGGCCTGTTCCTATGCTGCCGTGCTGCTCAGCCCGAGGGTCAGATTAAGAGGAAGGGATGTGAGGAGGGTGTCCTGACCCTTTGCCTGATTATCTCAGGTATTTTGCTTAATGTGGTGGAGGAGAACTTTTCTTAGAGGTGAAAGTTCATGTAACTTCCTCCTGAATTTGGTAGGGTGTTTGGAAGACTTTATTGTGTGGTCACAGAAACAGTGAGAGTGATTTGGGTCTCCTAAGAGCTATAGTACTTTTTGTATTTGCAGGTGAGGGGAAGATCTCTAGTACTCAGCAGACCAAAGAGCCTTGGGAGATGTCAGCATGAATTCACATAGTCCTTGCAGCTTCTCATGAGGTGGTCATCAGGTATGACCCTTTATTGACAAGTTGTGATCTGTCTAGGGCCGTATAGTAATGTAGGGGGCGGTGTTTTATTCCCTGAACAGTGATGAAATTTGCAGCTTTGTCCTTTTTTTCCCTCAGTCACGTTTTATACATCAGAGATATAATGACCTTGTCTCCCTCCCTTACGTGGGTGATACTCTGAGAAAGAAACTGCTCGAATGTTTGCCTTTGAGAAAGAGGCAAGAGAGGAAGAGTTTCTTAACACTTTTAATAATACCTAGTGTTTTTAGATGATTTGATGGAGACTAAACCCAGTAACTTGCGTGACAGAGGATGTTTCTAATGTGTGAGTCTGAATGACCTTTTTCCAGGTAGGCCCTGCACATGAAAAGAGGTAGGGGACCTTCAGTGATGTTTTTCTCTCCACTAGCCTGTGTTATTGCAGCCCAGCTGCTGTGATCTTAACCCCGTGGATTCTGCAAGGCTCCGTAATTGCTGCTGAGGGGTTTTAAATGACAAGTTCATGGTCTGTTTTAGCAGCTGATGAGTGCAAGAAGGGAGGCTTGAATGGTAGCAGCAGTATTTGTTAGCTGGCTAGATTGCTGCATGAGGAGGTGTTTTGCTCTCAGTTCACCCTCAAGCAGTGTCAGGAGAGCTGCCAAAACTTCCTTAAGAGGAGCAGAGAGCAGAGTGGGCAAACCGGGCAGCATGAGGTGACGCTTGGGGGTCGGTCGGTTCTGAAATGGGGCTGACCTGAGTCCCTTGGCAGTATGGGCAGTGGCTGTGAGAAAGACACAGGTGGGACTTGGTAAATTGCATCACTGTGGTAAGTATGTTAGGGTTTTTTGGTTGGTTTGTTTTGCCTTCCTGGCCAAATCCGAGGAGATAAGTTGTTACCTTGCTTTGATGTGGGAAATATCAACAGGTCACAGATTCCTGAGAGCTTGAGGTCTGAGTTCTGGCCACCTGTTGTATGGTCTCCATCCTTGTCTTCCCTTGCAGTGCGGTGTAGTGGTTTGGAGAGGAACTCCCGTAAGGAGAGTTGTCTCCTGCAGGTCTTAGCTTGTGTGACCAGGGATGTGTGTGATGACTTAGGACCATCAGGAATGAATTGCTGTTCTGACAGGCGTGTCCCTGGTACTGAAGTATCTCTGTGGCAGTAGCTGGAGGAGGAATCCTTTACAGCAGGAGGAACAGGAGCGACGTGTTCGTGTCTGCGGTATGTAGCGAGGCTAGCTCGAAAGGCAGGAAGCCAATATCTGGATCCGTTCATGTTTATCATATAATCAGAACTCTACTAGGCGGCTGATGGCAGCTGCAGGCTTTGCTAGAGAGGAGGGAATTCTTCATGGTTAGGGGCCTTTTAAAAAACAAAGGAACTTTTAAATAACCAAGTAATAAGAAAATTGTACTGATATTGATGGGGATGTTTGTTCAGGTGGAAATACAAGGCCAGAAAGTATGACAGCCCTAATTTTTTCCTTAAATACTCACATTTCTCCAGGGGCAAGAAAACAGAAGAGTCCTCTGGTAAACTTTGGCCTTTTTTTTAATCTCTGATGTGTTTATAAACCAGAGCTGGCTCCTGCCACGAGCTTTTTGGTGGCTAAGAGACCAGATGAGACAGACGAGAGGCTAGTGAGTTGGGCTGGGAATTGCCCACTGGCCATGAGAGCTCTGTAGAGGCGGAAGGTCGCTTCAATTTTCTGTTGCTTTCAGACTTCTGTTTGTCTGATCTGAAGGGCTGAAAGGCACAAAAACCTCTCATGAGAGAGGAAAAGAGATACCAGGGCGATGTCTCAGGTAACTTCTTTTAGGGAACTGGATGAGAAAAGCTGCTGCTGCTTGTAGCAGGGTCTAGCTGTTGGTCTCAAAGTACTTGTTGAAACATATTTGCATGTGTCCCAGACTTGGGGAGGATGAGGGGACTCTGAGCTAGCTGTGCTGAGTGGAAATTCTTCAGCTCAAGGGGAGAATGCAAATCTGAAGGACAGCTAAGTGCTGAAATGTACTTGGAGTGCAGAAGTCCACCTGGAATTCCTCGTGTCGGCCGAGAGGGGGAAGCCGCACGGCAGGTAAGGACGGTGCTGCCACCGGTGCAAGCGAGCGCAGGCTGTGGCGGGGGCGCCGCGCACCGCCCGTCCTGGACCTTCCGTCTGTAGTTGGCGTTCGAGCTTGCTGGGGTTGTGGAAGTACCGGTGGTTTCATCTCCGGAAGAAAACGTGTGACATGACGAAACTGGGTCGTCCGGACAGAGCCTTCGAGGAATTTCAGATAATTCATTTGATATGTTGTAGCTGTCGCGTGGGGCAAAACTAGACCTGTGCAACAAATCTCGCTTGCTTGCCCTCTTTCTCCTCTCTAAGAATTGCGTTTCCATCTGATATGTTCTTTTCGTTTGTTTGTTTTCTCAAGGAAAGTGAAATCAAGTGCTTAACTGAAGAAATTGAGCGCCTGAAGAACTGTGGTTCCTTGGGAGTCTCTCTGGGTTTGGAAGGATTACGGGACGAGAACGCAAAACTGAAATATCGGTTAAACTTTCTTCGAAAGGTAAGGCGGTGAAGAACTGCAGCAGCACGTGTCTTTGTGCACCTTGAGACAAGATAAGTGATGCTGTGTGTTTATGGTTCGTGATGTGTGACAGCACCTGCTTTCTGCATTTATTCTAGCATCTTAGTTTGGAGATTTGTGAAACAGCAGGTTTGCTGGTGAACACTCGTGGTGGGTTAATAAGGCCACCCTGTGGTGCCTTAGAGAGCTGTATAGCGGGACACTAGTGTTGTGCAGAGACCACCTGAGGTCCCTCACAGGACGAGGATAGGTGTGAAAGCAGCGCAGTGCGTGTGCTGCAGGGCTCCAAGGGAGAAGGCAGCACATGAGTGATGTGATTTTACTGGTGTAGGTATTGTTTGTTGGCTGTGCGTGGCCAGGCAGCTGTGGGAGCAAAGGGGATGTAGTTGCTTCTGAAATCTGGAGATTTGAGCCTTCTGGGTTATTTTTTCAGAGCCTTCAAGAGGAAAGAAGTAAAGGAGTGAAAAGCATGATCAACATCAACAGCTGTCTTCAAGAGATCTTTGGAGCTGCCATTCAGGCTGCCTACCCAGATTTGGAGAACCCTCCGCTCGTGGTGACGCCAAGTCAGCAGCCCAAATTTGGAGATTATCAGTGTAACAGTGCCATGGGCATCGCACAGGTGAGTGTGAAAGACCTTCCACAGACAGGAATAGCTGGGGACATTGTTGCCTTTAGGCAGCTCAGTGGTAGATGGCCCTGTGAAAGGCAGCGCTAGCCTGCTGTGGGCCCCGGGGGTGGGAATGGTGGTGTCGATGGGATTTTGGAAGCGCTCTTCCTTATGGAGCAGGCACTGAGACCTCTGAGGAGCCCCGGTGCGTGGCCCTACGCATCCGGTCACGCGCTGCTTACACTCGCTTTCTTCTCACCGACCGCTGCGGTGATGAGGCCAGTGGGATCCGTGTCGGCCCCACACTGTTAGGTTTA